TCGAATTCTGAGTAACACTGTATTCTTAGATTGTTCAAATTCGCGAAAAATTTTTAGGGCAAAGGCTCCCTCAGGGACGTCGAAAAATACTTTTTGTCTAAACTGGCAAAATGATTCTTTTTCTGACTCAGAATTGAATACTGATCACGAAAATCGCATTCACAGTCCGTCAAAATGCTTTCCTGTGAAACGGCCGCCAAAACAAAAAATGGGTCAAAAACCGGTTTTGTTAGAGTTTTTGACTCTCAGATGCTATGAGAAGGGCCTGTCATGGTCTGAATGGCTTTGCCTATATGTAATTCACTGTGCTTTATCCAAATATGTAAGAATCTAATTGATTGGGCAACGCTTGCACCCTGAAGGATAACCGGAACGATTTCCCGTCTCTGACTTGTTGACTGTCTAGGTATACCTAGAAACCTAAGCCTATAAGCTATTTACACTATAGATAGATTAAGCAACGCTCTTTCTAATGGTATGTCGTTCAAGTCGAAAATCAATGTCTAGATGCTTCATCTGACCACAACAGCGTGAAGATCCGATTTTCAAGGTTTTAGAAGGGAACTCTGTACATTTTATGAGTTTTTTAGGATAAAAACAGTAGTTTTGAAGTGAAGATGTGCATTCTATCTCAACTATAGCTCATCTGTTTTCAAAGCTACCAATAGTCACCGGATGCCAGTCCTGGAACTAAAATATCGGCGCCAAAACACGTGGGCGTGAGTGTTTTTCTAATAATTTTGCACAGAGATAAGATAGCGACTTGCGGTTTTCACTATTGAATAGTCAAGACCCTACGACATGTTTTTCTGAGCAGAAACTTGTTTCAGGATTTTCTGGAAGTCTGATTTTCCAGAGAATCTTTTAAAAACCAGCTCCGTTCTCAGAAAACTAGCATACTATGTTAGTGATTTTTTTGCTGCCGTAGGTAGTTCGGACGTTATTCTACAAAATTATGCAAGTCTCAGCTCTCCAGCTGTCGTTGTTCGGACAGGACTCGCTGCCCCTGAGCACGTGCCTATCTTCCAGTAGACATCTCTGAGAATCTCGAAATGTCATGCAATATAGGTAATCGACTACGCTGAGCATAGTGCCAACGTTTGTTTTTGTGTAGAAATGCAAATAACTTCGGTAAAGGCATTTTTGTGATAAACTGGTTTTTCGCCTGTTACTGGCAAAAATTAAGATCCTTATATCTCGATCAAATCCTATGCTGACTCAAGGAACCTTTCAAGTAACGCTCAGGACAGCTCATAAATCATAGTCGAAGACGAAAAAGGTGAATTTCTGCTAGGTATTGGCAATTAGCGTGGTGCGCCTTATTGTAAGGCAGTTTTCGTGGTGCTCCATGGGTTCTAAAGCACACTTTTTGCGCTTGGTGGTCTAGTCAAGTATTATTTAGATACCGAAAAATTGTTTGTTATATGTTTGAATAGACCTTTTGCAAGAGGTCTAGTTTAGTGAAAAAATACTAACAGCGAGCGCATGGAGAAAGAACACGCGACATTTTGGGCACATATTTTTGCGTCGTAATTCTCATTACCTTTTCGCTATCATATCTTTTTCTCTTTCTATACTACAGTGCACGTCAAAAGTCTCACTTTTTTATTTTCAGTCGTGTATTAAACCTACGCAGCATTAATTTAATTTGATTACATGCTAGTATAGTATAGGTCGAGTACTATACATATATGAGTGATTCTGATAAAAATAGTACCGTTCGAATGAAGTAAATGATGCCAAGCGTTTCTTTTCTTAGCCTTCATGAATCACTTTCGGACTTCTCGCATATTTTCAACAATGTTAGGCTTGTAATCGCTGCAAGTACGACTTTTCTATGTTTAACCGTGAACGAATTATAAGCAAAACATTCATATTTTACCGTTATTTTGATGTTGTTTTTGAAAATTGTTTCGTCATTGATTGAAGACGAATAAAGGTAAACCGTTGCTGGTGCACAATCAATATACTTTCAAATGTAACAAAACATCACCATCGAAAAAATATTGGCTCTGTACGGAACCTGATTGTGGCGTGTACATACACACAAATTTGGAAAATGAATTTTTATTAATTACCAGCGACCACAAGCATGTTGCTTCTCGGGATGCTCTGGAAACCAAATCACTCAAGGAGGAAATGAAAAAATGCATCTTGACCGAAACAACGTCAATTACAAAGATTTACGATGAAGAAATTGCAAAAGCATATTTGTTTTCTATATTAATATTATTTCGACATTTTCCTTTCTACTTTTTCCTTTTTTCTATTTCCTCATTCGTCAACCTGAATTTCGCTATTTTCCAATTCGACATTTTTCTCTTCATCATTTTTCTGATTTTTTTCGATGTTTTCCTATTCGATGTTTTCCTTTTCTGCGTTTTCCACCAAACCCGGTTCGTTACTCTTGATTAATCCTTTGTTTCAAGTTCTACCATTGCTGATTATATGCATAAATCTTCTTCTTGAGCATTAGATGGTAGAATCATTGTTTCATGTCATTATGCCATGTAGTATCAGTTGTTACAAGATTATCTTAGTTGTTAGACGATTAAAAGGAGATACTTTCATCTTACTGTATATGACATAACTTGTAGGAACACAATGTTTATTATATACTCTATTATTTTCTCTAATCGCAGATAGTTGGTTGACTTTATTCTAGCTGTCGAATGTTGCATCAAAACTTATACATACTCACTTAGTTAGGGCTTGATCTGACATGATATCCCCCTTCTATTATCTGGAGATATGACTGATACATCTGCTATTTACTATGTTGCATAGTATATTTCAAACCAAAGCCTCTTCTAATGTTCTTTTAGCTCAAACTTATCCATCTTCTTTTGCCCATCTGATTCTTGTGACGTTCAGGTGTCCTCCTGTGCTTGCATGATAGATATGCAGTGCAATACTCTTCTGTCATATGGAGAACAAAGTCAAAGGATCGTGTGACGCACTACGAGCTTCATGTTATCTGGTATAGACAACATTAAATAATTTGATATACGTTGATGATATATGATCGACGGAATGCCAATTGCGGACGATGGAAAGGTCTGCTTTCGGGGAAGTGGTGAACAAATAGAGTTTGAGTATGTATCGCAGAAGAAATTTATTGGAGATTAGTTGGCGTTTGCACTGATCAGAGATGGTAAGAACGGATTCCAAACATGAGCGTAAGCTTTTTTTTAGATGGCTGCATAGGAAGCTCGTCGTGCTTTCAAAGGTTTGGCGGAAAACTCATTATTGTGATCAAAAATTTGGAATATTCAAATCTAGACTAGTTTTCTAGAACAGTAAAATATTTTGATACCGTGGAATTATGTTTTTTGCGAGTCTCTAGAAATGACCCTATTTCTCACGTTCCGCTGTGATTTATCGACGAAAGTAAACTCAACTTTTTCCTTTAGTAAGGCAGAATCCTTCTGAAAAGTTCGCACCAAAAGCATCAGATCCTTCCAGATGAGAGAGACACGATGCCCGACTTTTTTTCTCATGATCACCCAAAAAAAAGTTCGAGCTTTGTCTACCATTCTATCGCGTCATTTTGCCGGATTTTCGAATTAACCAAAGCTTCGTCCTTGATTAAATGTCAGGCTCGAACTTTCACAAACAAGACGGTTGACTCTTCGCTTCGACCAACTGTAGCTCGAAGCTCGTGTTCAACTATCTGCTTCTGCAATTTTTCCTTCTCGTCATGTTTTTGTTAGGCATAGAATAACCGGGAAGTGTACTCTGAATTTCAATACACCGCTAGTTCCATGGCATTTACACGATAAAGACGAGCCGGACTATCTGATCTATGACGGTATTGACTTTACAATTCTTTATCTGCCGTATCTTAATGAATTTGAAACTCTTCCAACCAATTTAAACGATTGTTATATAAACTATCTACAATTCGCTGATCAGCTGGTTGTTATTATAAATCAAGTTTTAGTCGACGAAGCCAATCGTGGTATTCCGGACACATATTTTGTTCATTCAATTGTCCTCACCGTGAATAATCTTATCATCAGAAACATCAAACATTTAGGTGAAGAAATTGATCGGGTAAAAGATGGCTTTACGAAATTCGGTTTAGACGGCAAAAAGTCAATTGTTATATCGACAAAATGTGCGCGAAAAGCCGAAAAACGATTTTAAAGCAGAATTCAATTGCACGAGCAAGGAGTCAAAATTTGTGTTAGTATCTAGTACTAAAACTTTTTCTTATGAGTTAGTGGTGTCTTAAGTTTTAAACAGTTTCTTTAAAATAAATAAATCTTTTCTTGACGGACACGAGTATCACCCGACAAACTTACGCAATCTGAGAAGTGAACTAGGAAACTTACACACCTCAGAAAAGTCTCATTGATACGCAGAACATATCCTTTTCAAGACAGCGCACATGTTAAAGTCGCGGCACTACTGGTTTGTATGATAACAGAAAGCGAGAGTTTTTGAACAAAGCTTTGTTCCACAAACATTATTCACTGAAGATTGGTAGTCAGTTGAGTACGAAAAGTAGAGAAAATGCCATAAAACGTGTGGCAAAAACGGTGCAGAACAAGGAATCTGTCACACCTTTTTCGCTTAAGTCTTTAAAAAGCACGTTTCGGATTGATACTGTCACGAATGTTTCTTTTTCGGTATCCACGAATAGATAGCCGTGACCGTCACATTTCAAAGCACCGCCTTACTTACTTACTTAACTCCGGAGGCTATAGTTGTCGACAAGTATGTGCACAGGCATGCATCAGTTCTTCAGACACAAAAGACAACGACGACGTTGCAACTTTGGTCACAACCACAAGGGTCTCATTCCACCGGTATTTGCTTCATGTTTGTCGTCATCGTAATGCTCATTCTCCTCGTCAACTCTGTATAGTTAAGACGTACTGTTATAGGTATATATATACATCTATAGTGTATACATAAAGTAAATTTATATTTTCTATCGTCTACTTTTTAAGAGACACGTTTTTTAACGCGTGTCCTCACATTTTTGTCGATAAATGTTGGGTCTTCGACAGCCCGTTACATCTGAAATGGTGGGTAATGCTCTTAATCTGGTCTATGAAAACGGTTCAACGATGCTTTACAATAATAATGCACATAATGTAGATCAGAGTGGTGCTTCCTGTTTAAGTGGTTCACAACCGTTTTTCACGTACCCTCAATTTCATCAAAAACAGTTTCTTACTTCAAATCATTATAGTTTGGGTTATCACAGTCAAGGCATGTCTAATGTTAATCACCTACAGACACATGCTTTGCACCGTCCCTGGATACAGCAATTAACTCAACAACCACATGCTGCAGTAACAAATCAATTAAGTCAGGGTATGCAGACATTTATGAAACCTCAACAAGTAAATGCCACGTCTGATATCGAAGGAAGTATTCTGATGATGATATGAGCGAAGATGGAATGTCGGGGGAGCGTACGAATAAGAGGCAGAAAAAATCTGCTCAGATGGCTTCAGGAATAAATGTGGTTACCATTCCGGTGTCGACAACAATATTTCTGATTAAAGTGAGATCTCGCCCAACTCTACATGACCTTTCTTTGTAAATTTATAGAATTTACAAGAAAAGCCCTAAATTAGTCTCTTTTTATTTCTGTAGCTTTGAGCTGACTATGAACATTTAGGACTTTTCTTGTAAATTCTATAACTTTGCAAAGAAAGGTCATGTAGAGCTGGGAGATGTCTCATTTCAGAAATGTGCAGGCTACAATCATCTCTTACTAAGAAAAGGTTTTGATTATATCTTAGAGTTTCTGAAAAACTGGTTTTCCAGAAAACCGGGTCTTCAAGACTATTGGACCCGAATCCTTTTAGGCTTTTTATTAGCTGGATATACTCTATCGATTGAGGTATAACTCATTAGAAACGGAGGGTATCACCTCGGACGGTTCCCTCGTGAGATCACTAACAGGGCTTTCGTAATGATAATGCAAGGGATTCATCTCTAAAAGACGCTCTCACAGGGCTTTCGTAAGACTCTTTTACACGGCATTTGTAACGGAGTCTATATGCACTTTTATCCCAGATATAACTGATAATGCTGTATTATTACAGGATTTTCGTAACGAATGCTACTTCCTATTGTAAATGAAACAGAAAACATATAGAAACAGTGAGAGTGAATTAGTACAATCACAGATCATTTAAATTTGAAAAGTAAATTACAAAAGCCCTGTAAGAGACTGTTACGAAAGTCCTATTAGTGGACATTAATCTTCAGCTACTTTACCGTAAAAAGTACACACAGATTTCGTTACGAAAGGCATTTTGTAATTTATGTCTTTTTAACGTGCTACGAAAGCCTTACTTTTTACCGGGCTTTCGTAATACTAGGGGATTGGATGAAACCTGATTTTTTAGTTTATTTAAACATAATATTCTGTTTGCTCGGTATGTCAAACATAATTAGAATCGTACTATTTCTAATCAGAAATATATTTATTTTTTATTCGAATCATTACATGAAGTGTTAGTTTATTGCATAATTGTATCTGGTGGGGTCCTGCGATTATATTGTATTTCTGCTATACCATTTGTCGGCAAAAATTTTTTCGGAAACTTGCCCATCTTAGAATAACAGAATATATGGATAGTTTAATCATTACGTCTCTCAAACAAATTATCGAGCTGGTAAATGTAACGGATAAGTAGGATTCGTTTTGAAAGATATTGTTCTAATCTTGAATTCTTCGATCTTTAAATTCTGATATAATGTTCAAAATGTCTGAATGTGGTTTTAAGAGCTGTCTGTCTGGAATATTTGACATAGTTAACGCATGCGTACTATTATTGCACTGGATAGTACTGCATGCTGCACATACAACTTGGCGAGCTGACAACATCGACATTTTAGCATAAAACACCCAAAATGAAATCCTGGGAAATACATTTTGAATAAAATAAGACACATTTAACGCCTCGCATAGACATCACAAACACAATCCAATGATTTTAATGAACTCAGCAGATATTATCTGCATCGACTGATTTATTTAATTATGAAGAAATTACGCTGGCAAACACAGCAATGGGCAGATTATAAAAGTTATAAAAATTTCTCTAATGCCCTTTCAAAACATTCATGCTCATAAACAGAAATTTCGTAGAAATTCCAGTGATTACCGTTATATAAGAAAGAAATTTCCGCGAAATTTCCGAATTTTCATATTAGAAAAATTCCCAGAAATTTCGAAATTATCTTCACCTCAGCGGAGAAATCTGCTGAAAATTTCGGTAACTACTCATCCTATAGAACGAAATTTATTAGTGATGACGGAAAATGCAACCACACCCGGGCGAAATTACCAGGAAATTTCCGATATCAATTAACTCTAACTCAACAGTTTCTCGGAAATTACTGAACTTACACTTCAACGAAAGCGGAAAGTCCACGAAATTTCGAACAGATTTCACACATACGAAGCATTTTCTCAGGAAATTTCCTCGAACCTTCCATAATTAATAGGAAATTTCTATAATTTCTTTATTTATATGATATAGATGTGAGGGATAGATATAAATTTAAACATCCCTACCCCGAGAAGTAGAAGAATTTTCAGTAATTTCGGAACTTACTTGGAAATTTCGGTAATTACGGAAAGGATACCGTACGATAAGAAAAGTTTTGAGTTTTTCTAAACGGATTATATGGTTTGACAGAGCTCGTCAAGGCGCATCCGAAAATATACTTGGTTTTGCTTAGAAATAATTTGTTCACTGTGAAAAAATTTTGTTTTCAGAAATAGCGAAATTTGATATCCGTTGAGAAAAATTTTTTTCCCGAAAGAAAGAGTTCACCGGATCTGTTTGATAGTTTCCACGCCCTTTGTAACCATTCGTAAATCGATTGCAATTGGGTGAAAAAGTATTGCAGACCGCCGGAAGATGTCTTATTTTTCTTAGAATTTTATATTCTATCGGGGTATATGATTTGAAAAATTTGACACACTGTACTGCATATATAACACCCGGACGCTTCGTTTTCATATCTTTAATGACTGACCCCATCTGTCTGGATATTCTAGCCAGTTCAATTTGTAGAGCCTTTCAAGGGCTATCCAATGGTAGGTTTTTGATAAATACATACTGTTTTATGGCGGAAAAATGGCTGAAGCAGTGTTTAAAGAACTCAGATAGGTAAAAATCATTATATCGGTCAAGTATTTCGACTATTGACCCATGTGGGGATACTTTTGAAATACTTATGTATAGCTCATTTTAAAGCCCGTGAAATTCTGTATCGAATTATATACAAAATAGGGTGTTTAACGACAAAATCAATGGATATTACAAACATGAACGACGTTGACTTACCGATTTGCTGAGATGCTACTGAGTATTTGGAATCTCAGATTACCCAGTTACATTTTCTTAAGACTATCTTATAGAGCATTTTGTAGCCCATCAAATTCTCTATCGAATGGTATACTTGAAAAGTGTTTTGGAACCATCATTGAAATAAAAATCACCGATAACGAGAAAATTTGACCCTTTTAGGGTCAGCTATTATCACATCAGGGCTTATGGATCCGATATGATTACCAAGCATATTTTCTGATAGATTTCGATCTGACAATCCCATACATGGTCTCAGATGTCAAAGACGAGTGACCAAAAAGCGCGAAAAGTTGAAAATACTGGAATTAAGGTTTATCAAAAACTTCGTTGTCATAGTGTTTTGAATACTGCTGTGATAGGCCCAATATTTTGAGATTGCTTTTCTATAGTTTTGTTTATCTAGTCTTCTGGCAATTTTCCACAAAATATCTTATTGTATCACGGTGTTTTTTATGGATGAAAATTAATTTTTTTGAGTTGTGCAAAACCATTTGTTACCTGAAGTAACATTACAAATTTCTTTTGCAAAATGAACTGTTAGATAGGATCAGTAGTGTATTTCATAGAAAATTTATTGGCAAACTAACCATATGTAAATGAGCATTAGGCACACTTTCTTTCTTTCGGGAAAAAAATTTTTCTCAACGGATATCAAATTTCGCTATTTCTGAAAACAAAATTTTTTTCACAGTGAACAAATCATTTCTAAGCAAAAGCATTCCTGAAAAAAGCGCAGTTTACATCAAACATGCTCTGCGAGATTATTCTGTGTATAACTGGTCACAACTGAGTATAACTGACACTCATAATACATCAATAGATTCCCTTATGCCAAGGCTATCTATCTGACTGAATGTAAATCCATTTGGAAGCATATTCTTTGCACAAAAAGTTTCCGCGGCTCGGGCGTTGTGTCGGATTTCTGCGAGTCCTAGGACTGGCACCTCGTGGCTCCCCATTCCTAATGGTTCTAGGCTCATTCGATAGAGAATGGAATTCTCTACAAACCTTCTATTTAAATCTCTGATAGCATTGTTCTCGTTTGAGCACCATTCAAAACATTGAATGATGCTGAGTTGTCGAACTGCGACGTGCTTCCGTCGTTTTCTTTTTTTTGACTTTTAGTCCATTGCCTGAGGTTCAACAGTTAATTTTTCTACGTATAAAATTAGAGAATTTTATGCTCTATCGATCTCACTCATTCACAACTTCGTACAATATTTCTACTAGGACAGTTGGACTTATAATTAGTTATCAACTGACTTCTCAATTTTTATAAATTAATTTAAGTCTGTTAATTACTGGTTTCAATTGAGAAACTTTGTTTATATATAAAAAGGTGCAGAATTTAATTCTGTGTAAGGTAATACGACTTAAATTTGAATTCAGAACATTTTACTACTCTTATAGTTAGAAAACTACAGTTTGTGAAAAATAGGTACAAAAGTTAGGTTTTTTTAGGTGTATCAGTTTTTTGCACAGAGGATTTTTCCTAGAAGATTTCACTACAAAATTTCGAAAAATATGTGAGAAGAAAAGAAAAATTTTCCGGTGAGTCTTCTGATATTTTCAAAATTCTTATGAAATGTATTTTTGGATCAAGTCAAATATTTTTCTATTTCCAGTCTGTCGCAGTTCGACAACTCAGCATCATTCAATATTTTGAATGGTGCTCAAACGAGAAGGATGCTATCAGACATTTTAATAGCAGATTTGTAGAGAATTCCATTGTCTATCGAATGAGCCTAGAACTAACTCCTTGGACTACTGGAAAGCGCCTGAAAACAAAGAATAAAAGTAGCCAGTTTTATCTGGACCATCCGTTAGTTCTGATGTTTAGTGAGTGAATAGGGAACTTTTTAATATTAGGTGAAAACAGCCTGAAAACCCAAATTTTCGTAAAACTCGCTTTTCGGTAGGTTTTAGAACTTTTTCTAAAAAGAAATATTGGCACAGGTCTCACCATGATCGATTACCTACAGTTTATCCGTTTTCAAGGCTACCAATAGTCACGGGGTGCCAGTCATGGGACTCGCAGGAAATCCGACACAATGCCCGAGGCGCGGAAAATGAAGGTCTCGCTTGGCTCTCATTTTGAAGAGGATACCTTAGCCTATCATAGCATGGAAGAAAATCATTGCAATCTTTAAAAAAATTTTACACATGGCCTGATTTTCCAAAGTTTCCTAGAAAACCTGTTTCAGAAAACAATTCCGAAAAAGTTTATGCTTATGGAAACATGTCAGCAAGTCTCTTCTTTCGCATGGGGAAGGTCGCAGTTCTCTAGCTACTTTCTATCAAATGTTATTAAAAAAACATTTGAGTCCATTCTTCTAAGTCCATTTACTGACAATACTCAGAGCTCTTGGAAATAATCAAATTTCTTCAGCCAATATACGACCAAGTGCTGGAAATTTTCTTTCCATAAACCTCGAAAGTAGTGCTATCTAATATATGATTCAGAATTTTTTTATTCGCAAATTGTTTTTTTCCATTTTTTTTATCGAAACGGTACAATGCCAATGCAATTCACTCGATCATATGGGCTGAACATCCCTGAGTATTAAATCTGGCGTGCTTCTTCTGCATGGTTGACTCTAATAATGATAACTGATTAGATGATTTTTATGAATGGCTAAAATCGCTAAACAGTACTTTCAGTTTTCACGTTCCGTTCTTGTTCGTGGTAAGAAGATGCACCAAGCGGACCTCTGTACCATTTATGGGCTTGAAGAATGTACCATGCACCGCTGACCAACATGACGAAGATCGTGATAGGAGCTGCATCTACTCAAAAAGAAACAGAGTCAGTTAGTATTGGGAGAAATATGACACGTACAATTCATGTTAATTGCCGTGACTGGATATACTGTGGGCATCATGAGAATGCCAGAAACAAAAAGAATCCATGTGCAGGCAATGCCATCAACGACAAAACCAAGTTTTCCCATGTGAAAAGGACCACCTTTGAATGGAACCATGCCAAGAACACCACAAAAGAGTAGTTTGCAAAAGATTGGGATCATATATGACCAATCGAGAGCGATAGCGCACAAGGAAAACACGGCGTTGATTGCAGCCACACTAGCGAATCTCAACATTCCGAGAAGTATACTAACGACAACAACAGCCCAAACAGCAGTAATCGGTGTCTTGGTGGTTTTATTCATGCCAAAAAACTTTCCACCGGGAATCGCGCCGTCACGAGCGAATGCGTAAATCATGCGGGAGTTGGCTTGAAGAGCAGTAGTGCCGGTAAAATTTTGTACAATGATGATGAACGACCAAATAGCGAGTGCGCCGTGTTTGCCGAGTCTATCATACATTATCTGTGCGACCGCTAGACCGGTTGGACTGTTAGCGAGTATAGTAAGATCGGTGGGAGAGCAAAGAGTAAGAGCAATGTTTATTAACCATCCAAGAATGCCAGTTCCAATAACAGCCGTAAAAATAGCGACCGGGGCGGCGATAGCTGCTCTACGAGTCTCCTCGGAGATGTGGGCCGTGGCATCGTAGTCCGTCATTGTCCATTGAACAGACAGAAGACCAAGTAAAAAGGCGAAACCGTTCGAATGCCACCCAGACTGATCGTCCACATGAGTGAAAATGTACGTGCCTGTTTGTTTGTTGTGTGTGACGACAAGCAGTGACACAATCAACGCTATACTTGTTCCGACGTTTATAAATACATAGTATTTTGTGACACGAGAAAGCCATTTTGTCCCCATGCTATTTACTACGCCGTGAAAACAGAGAATACCAATGTAGATGCCAACAGTTGCGCCGGCGGTGATGGTGTAATTCTTGTCTTTGCCCATAACGACACCGGCAAGAATCATCTGCGATAGTGCATAGTCTGTCGAAGCTACACCGGCAATCTGACCGAGCAAATTCATCCAGCCGACGACCCAACTGATCGGCGGTATCCATCGTTTCGGGACGACGAATCCGGTAGCAGTGTATAGACCACCACAGGCTGGAAAGGCAGACACTAGTTCTCCAATAGAGGCACCAATTGATAAGCACATGATGGAACCCATTAACCAACACCAGATGGCAGACGCTGGACCCCCTGTAAGCATCGGCGTGTTGTACGTTGAAGTGATCGAAGCGACAACACCCATGATACTGAACGCAAATGAGAAAGTGGAGAGACTAGTGAATTCTCTGATAAACTCACTTTTGTAGCCTATCTTTGCAAGTGCAGCATCGTCCGAGTCGATGTATGAATTACCATCCGTTTGACTGTTGCCAGTATCTTTTTCTTCTGCTTCAGACATACTGTTCATAAAAAATCTGAAACATCAATAATAATAAAACTATTCTACTTCACTCAATAAAACATCAGAAAAACTGTACCTTATTCAACAACAAAAAGCTCTCGTTTGTTTTCAGTGAGTATGTGATCATCTAATTTCCCGAATGTTAAGCGAAAGTCAGAAATATGAAACCTTTTCTATCAACCATCTAGCAGAAAATATGTTAGAAAGTCAGCTCAACAAGCAAAAGTTGTACGAGTCGTCAATTTTTTAAGTTGTCAGTATCACCGGACGGACCACTATCTGTTTTTAATATATAAATAAGTTTGGACAGCCCCCGAGTCTAAGGCCCAAGCCTCAGACCTAATAGTTTGTTCGACATATAAATTATGCTTAGGTTCAACAGATCATTCTGACAACGCACTACTATGAGATGAAAGTTCCCTTGTTCTACCGGAAAGATGTGGACTTTCCGACTATTTGCTTTCGTCGCTATTGGGGGGGGGGGGGGGGGGGGGGGGGGGGGCGGGGGGGCGGGGGGGGGGGGGGGGGGGGGGGGGGGGGGGGGGGGGGGGGGGGNATAACAAGAACTACTGAACATTTGAAAGATCAGGAGAAAATGGTAAACCCCCCCCCATAATAGAAGCCTCCGGGGCTTCTAAACTGTCCAAGCGTTCAAAATTTTTAGAGGGGGCTTGTATTATGGGGAGCTACTATTACGACTTTCGTACAAAAATTCACGTTCACATCACTGATGTGACATCGGTGATAGTTTAAGTATATTATAACTTTTATTCCTGTCTTTCGTATAGAACGAAATGAACGCATTTCCTTTGTAAACGAAAGAAATACATAGTTCAATTTCCTGGGATCCACCAGATGCCTTAAAGCTTTACTCGTCTTTGCCTTCGACTAGCGTGCATTAGAAACCCTCAATCTCGAAAGAAGATCACTAAACTTTCTAAATCACTTGGATTCAAAAATACTGGCAAATCTCGTTTCATGGTCTCGAAGTATGTTCGATCTTACGAGGGAAGGTCCCCAAGTGTTCAAGCCGTTTAGACTTCATCTTTTGACCATAAGTAGACCTCGAAGAGATGTGAAAGACCTCAAAAGGATTCATTCTCTCGTGCCTTCATTCCTGGGATATTGAATTTTCAAGATATCCTATGAGGAAATGAGAATAAAACGATCTATGACTATTTTTTGAGAATACTGGAACATCAATGGCTGAAGCTTTTTCTTCAGTATTATACGCTCTTTGCACGATCTATTTGGATTTCACCAGTCGTTTTGCTTGGTATCCCAAGTCTTGTGCATCCCGAAATGTGATCGTATAACCCTTTTCCATACTCGTCCTTTCTTACTCATTCGTGCATTGCTTGTAGTCTTATTTGCCATTTACTACTACCCTGACGTCATAATAAATAATTGATTATTGAACAAACTCAAGCCGATGCTTATTTTTCTTAATCTGGTCGAGTTATTTAAGCTTTTGAAAACGATAAAAATATTGACACGTCTCACAGATTGTTC